GACGCAAATAAAATTCAAAAAGATCATGAGAAATCTGTATCATATATGCACCATCACTTGTGCTCTTTTGTTGCATGGTGGAATATGGAGAGTTGTAGTATCTTGAGGATGAGGGTGGGTGCGAGTACACTAACATAAGAAGTATCACATCCGCACTCATCCCATATCTTGAGAGACAATGAAGAGCAGAAAATTAACGTATAGAGTGGGGAAACATCATGCTTTAGTTGTTGCAATAATATATATGTTATATGTTTTCCTATTTTAGAGTATACCTATTCTTCATTAATTCATCATTAAACAATATGGCATCAGAATCAGGTAAACCACAACACAAGGACGTTGATATTCTAAGAATGAGTGTGAGTGTGGATATAAGTCGAATATATCTACACCCACATCCAGTCACTGCTCTAAGTATTAAGACTGAAGTTTTAGAAATTTCATCTCGTAAGCAAAAATTGATAAACCGATCCGCAATATCTAACTACCTAATTTGCTTTTTTGGTCGAAAAGACTAAGTTGTCAACTGAGATATTGCACAAACGTGAGACTAAATGACACAGATATTATACGATAGTTACGTAATTCGTTGATTTATTCTGGTTTCTAGTGTAATATAAAAATGTTGATCATTTTTATCTGAGATAAATTCCGCACTTCAAATAGTAATGACAAATTAATGTGTGTGGAAGTGGGTGTTAGAAGGATAAACACGTATTCATATTTATTCATCTTCTTTTTTGAAGTGGATAGCAGACATAAATAATTTTCGTTTGTCGTCGAAGTTTATCTTCATCGACCGTACAATACTTTATAGCTTTCGATCTATCCGACAAAATGAGACTACATTGCACATTTGTAAAGGCTCTACTTATTTAAATCAATCTTGATACTAATAAGTAGTTCTCAATTCCACTACTTTTTATAGAGAATTGTGCCTTGATTATCGCGAGAGTGGATTATCGAGTGAGTATGGTGTCTAAAATGATTGAAAATCCATACCTTCAGTTCAAAGTAACCCGCACTTTTTATCATTTAATAGAGAAATCCGTCTAGCACGAGTTTATGTGTGAGAAGTGTTTTCTTAAAGTATTTCTTTAGACGAATTTGAAGGAGAATCAATAATCTTTTTAGAAAAAATAGTCTCATTGGTTTTGTAGTTTAGATATATCATTTTCTTGAGATACGAGAGAAGAGTTTGAGAGGATCAACATGCATGAGACATTTTTATTGAATAAAACAAAGAAATGAAAATTGAGAATACAACAATATAAAATAAAAAGGATTATTTTCAACTTTTCGCAATAAACAAAAAGGTTTTTCTTTGAGAATTTCTTTAATTTGATATTCTTTCCCCTTATTTTTATCGACTTCTCCTCGCAAAAGAACTTAAATTTCCTATTTAGAAAATAAAATAAATCAATGAATTTATTAATATAAAACATCTGAAAATCATTGTTAGAAGGTATTTGAAGAAAACTTTCTCGAGACAAAAAGAATCAGCATGTTGAGAAACCATTAAGAACCAGAAACTAGCTCGATGCATTCAGCCGTTATCAAGATAGTTTTCTAGTGGAACACGCCTATTGATGATTGTATCTCACCTTTGTAAAAGAAATTCAACGTTCATATATATCTGATATGAAATCGTTGCATACCTTTAGCAGAGAAACGCTTTTATCAAAAACTAAAAGGCTTCTTTTTACATTGATTTTGATCATATCGTCGAAGAAAAGAATCGTGGAGATGAATGTTTTTATATTTTTCTGGTTCTCACTGAAACTTTTTTTATGATGAAAAGATGAAATGAAAACTTTATCCACAGTTGAAGTATTTTCCCTGTGAATCTTGAATATTTTTACATTGAGATAATTTTTAATACACTATTTTTAGAAGTACTTTAATGTTATAATATGTCTCATAATCTTAGTCAGACACTCTGTTAGTGATGGTTCTTGTGCATAGTTATGTTGGCATCTACTTCTAGAATTTCAAAAATTCTTTCAATATTCTAATGAATTGAACATTCAGAAATATTTAAAAGAATATCATTCATATTAAATTATTATTTTAACGTAGATTTATATCAATAGACA